TAATATGTTATGTTGACACCTGACTTAAGCCTTTGTTTCAATAAGGAGCTATTTGAGTCACCTCTAAACGGTAAAATGATGTAGACAGGTTTCTTTCTACCAAGACTAGTAGGCCTCACTATACCATAACCTTTCCATCTACTTAAGTTTGTTTTCTAAAAGTGGATCATTTGATTGAACCATCTCTTCTACTTCTAAATATATCTAAGGGGAGGTGGTCCTTCTCCTTTTCACATGAAAGACTAGTGTGGTTTTGGAGTGTTAAGTCCACTTAATAAACAATTCATATCGTCCTTTCTTTCACAGATAACTAAGATATCATTCTGATATCTCTTACAAAGGGAAATATTTTCGATTAGGGCTTCAGCTAGATTTGCAACATGTGCCATGAACACATCTGCTGATAATGGTCCTAACAGACTATCCATAGCAACCCTTAAATGTGAACTGGACTTCGTCAGTACGTGATAGTATTTTAAGATTGTTCAAAGATATGTAGTCACATAATATATCAATAGTCTTTTTCAAAGGTACATTTGTGAGCAAGGAATTCATGTCAAATAAACATTTTCTCTCCATTGATACTTATATCACATAAATTATCGACCAATTCAAAAGAATCCTCCACAGAATAAACGTCTTCGGATGGGATCCAACAATTTTGTCAACCATTTAGTTAGGTTATGTGTAGGTGATCGACACATTAATAAGATTGGGCGTAAAGGAATGCTCGATTTGTGAATTTCAGGTAATTCATGTAGATGAGGGTACTCAGAGCCGATTGGTTTTAGAACATCGAGTTCCTCTTTATCAGTAATAATCATGTGCAGCAGTTTTACTAGGTTTGAATTTATTCTCCACTCTAGTTTGCTAATATCTCCATTTCTGGTCCAGTTGACCTTTTTATTTTTATATATAAAGGTGTCAGAGTTGTTGTAGATATTTGAAAGTGAGGTCTACGTGATTAGGTAACAACCCATCAATGAGCTGGATGGCTTATTTTATTGATGTCTGTCAACCTATTACTTAAACTATGGATTTGGGTCATGACTGCAAGTTTGAAATCACATCACTCAAGTTTTTTCAACCATAGAATACTATCTCATAAACTCTGAGTAAGAAATCTGTGCGCCAGCATAGTTCAGAGAGTTAATTATCAGTTTCACTGACTTGTCATGTTCTATCTTCGTCTTACTTAGCCCTTTTCCGTCCATCTTCACTAAAGAGGATATGGGATCTAAACACACCAAGAAGGTCAGATGTTGCTTCTGAGAACATGCCTCTGAGAAAATGACAATAGATATGTGTTCTAAGATACAGTATATGACAGAATATTAAAGTTGGAAATTATGGGACAAGTCAAGAACTAAATGCTAAGCTACCAAGAAATGTCTGTCCGGAAGACGTCGTGTAATGGCACTGATGTGTGGGTAAGGATGATACTGATTTGTTGTTTGCTTAGTCAAACTTGTAGATAGTCTGACAGGTGTTAGATAAGTTATATATTCTCCTGTCCGTATTATTATTGATTGGTTTTTGGTGTAGAAATATATTTACGTTCTAGTAAGGCTAGTCACGTCTTCTTGATCTGAGTTGTATTGAAGTCCTGCAGAATAGACACTGGGAGGGTATCTAGTGTGATATTTGTCTCAGGCAAATTAAAATCCCATTCGTAAACACGAAGCAAACCGAGCATTATAACAGGCACTCTCCAGTACTACTAACTTATGGTGTTTCTGTAAGGATTCTAAAACGTGTTATTGAACATTATCTAGTGCATATATTGATTGAAGTCTGGAAAATTGTCATCATAATACATTGCCTCTAACATCATCTAACAAAATAAGACATTTTTGGTACTAGAGGTACATAACATGTTCGGGCCAGTAGACCATATCTTATAAAATTATTACTCCGGATACACTTCCAAAACCATAATCAGGCTTCAATGTAATTTGCAAATAAGAATTACTAGTTTGATAGTCTTCGTTACAAAACACATTAGTGGGAATTAATTACCAGAGATTTTTATGCAATCCCAAACGCAGCGGAATACAAATGTGATGTGGCAGAAACACTGAAATGATAACAATAATGTGCGTAATTTCCTGGCATCACGCTGTGCTCATAACAAACGTGAGATACTGTGACATGAGACACAGTTATCAGTGGGTATCGATTTCTGTTGATGACTTACGTTGTTATGTATCCAGTGATTTACCCGGTTGTTGTAAAGTTAGCTTATACACCAATCAACCGTTGTTATTATCGTAGTTCATTACCATATTTGTCGTCAAGATACGATTGCACAAACGACTTGTTTTTGGCAAGCACCAACGTTACAAATATCAACTTACATAGACCATATTGCTATCACCCATCGTTGAAAATTGCTGCTCCTTCTGGAGCACATGTTAGACTGTCTGCCCCAGTACGCGTTCATGTGGGCCTTACTAAACATAAAAAAACAAGACCTTTGATCTTAATTCGAAGATCAGAAGTATGCGTTATCTAAGTACTTGGTCGGCCATGTTCATTCTGATATACATTGGTCTATAGCAACCATAAAAGACTACTAAACTTGTAGATGCTCAGAAATCTACCCCAACGAGCTTTAACAACAAGAGGAAACGTAAAAATGGACTTAGTCCACGTAATAATCAGTAGTGAAATTTATCGAAAGGCACAGGGGCATCGTTGACATCTGATAATTGTTTAGACTAGTGAGAGACTAAGATTAAAGAATGGTAGTTGTTTTAGTAGTAAGGCTGGCTGAGATGCCAGCTAAGTCTGATAGTTGAAGACAATTCCGTCATGCTGGGCATGAACACTTAGCATCCTTGTTTTTGTAAAAGACTAATAACCGTATAGAAATCAGTCTGACTAATATTCTAAGATATTAGCACTCACAACCCGACACTTTATTGGTGCTGGTAAGTATACAAACTGGGGATGCCAAGCAGTTGTAAGACCTAGGGAGGGATTTGTAAAAAGGATATCCATTTTACTTTCGAAGTGTAAATATACTTATTGATGCACTACCGTAAACGTATCTCTCGAACTTTTGGTTCAACTACCTCAGGTGGTCGTCAGGACTGGTGGCAGTATTTATCATTTAATGTGTACCGAAGCACATAAACTTTAGGAAGGTCCTTTACTCGGTAATCAGTGGTCGGATTAAATCTTATGGCGAGCCATCGCGTGGATTGGCAACCTACAGTGAAATTCGTCAGGGCTACCCACTAACTAAATTCTCACATAGTTTCGTCACGTATCTTTCTAGAAATAATGCTTTCTAACTTCCCAGTGATTGATCTCATACCAAGAGATTCACTCATCGACTTGGACTCAGATAAAATAAATATATTTGATAAGGAAAGTAACAAAATGAAGCACTAAAACAGCCCATGAAAGTAAAGGATATATGTAAGTTTCAATTATTTTATTGGTGTGTGCAAAGCAATATCGGCTTGATACTATGAATTTTTATCGGCTAAGGTAGTCGATAAATGTTACCGTTACCTAAGGACTTTCTGCCTCGGTGTGTATTGTTGGCTGACTCAAGAGTAGGCTGGAAAAATACCAGTGTGACACCGGTCCACAAAGTCACTAACAAGTGGTTCGAGCAATATCGCAAGGTGCGAATTTCCTGGTTGCAATAGTTGTAAGTAATGGTTGGAAATGACGCGAAATCTATCGGTGACCCAGTTTTACTTATTCGATACATCCTCTCAAATGTTGAGTTAAGTGACCAATCCTAGCTTATTACTGGCTCAGAATTCTGTCAGTTGAGAAAATTTAAATCCAGTTAGTACAACTGAATGAATATCCTAATTCTGAATAAGTTTGCATAATCTTACATACCTCAAATAGAAAAGTATTATAAACAGTAACATTAACATAGAGGACAAGACGTGATAGATTGTTTAGATGAGGTGTAAAGTAGTTGAATGGTTATTGCTTGAGAATGTACGAATATTGATGAGAACTCCTAAAGTGGGCAGATGTAAAAAGAAAACAAACTTTCAACCAAACAAACTTTGAAATGTAATATATTCAGTGTAAAAGTGAACATAAATATGTGGTTAAAACATAACTCTTGAGATATGGGTTTTGTAAGTTTAGGCGGTGCTTCCTAACTAGTTCCGTCTATGTTGTCATTGATCGTGGTCAACACAAGTAGAAAAACATATATTCCATCACCCATCACGCCATGTGAAATATTGTCTTGTCTGTGAACGCAAGCATGATCGTATAGAATGTAATGGTTTATGTAAGTCTAATTTCTTTTTTATAGCTTTAAATCAACACTAGCATCCTGGAATATTCATCGAATCCACAAAACGGATATAAATTACTTTTGCTTCATCGTAAAATAGTGTAGCTGTGTGTGATATTCTAGGCATTTGGACTCCTTGAATTTTGGAGAATCTGAATGTTTAGATCTTATCTTGATTATAACTTAAAAGAATCTTCTTGGTTTAATGCTCAAATGACGCAGTAATACTACAAACATAACACATGGAGTTTTTTGTTCATTAATTTAGCCGTTCGACTTTGGTTAGTAGGTTACAAATTTACGTTCTGTTAAAGGCGACTCGAATAATTTTACTAAAGAATGAAACAGTACGAGGATCCAAAGCCAATAATTCTGATTGTTATCATTTAAGACTTCTTTAATATTGTTGGCTAAATAGTCTCAAAATATCCAGTGCATGTTTGCATGCTAATGTTTACAGATTGCGAATTTTACAATTTGTTCAAATTTTTCATAAACGAATTTCTTTTGAATTATTCTTTACTACGGAATAGGGATTTCATGAATACTTATGGTTTTAAACTCTTCCTTCATGTGATTCTTAAGTCTAAAAAGAGGATGATATTTCAGTTCGTGCCACAGTGCCACTTTTACTTGAAGAAAATTTGTCAGTGTATTACTTGTCAAAGAAATAAGTAAGTACGCAGATCACACTCCCATCATTGAGACGAATTACACACACTAAGTCGTAATTATTTTTAATCGTGATTGCAATAAAATTCATCGATAGTTGAGAACAAACTGAATAAATAAAAAAAACATAGGAAAGAAAATGTGCACAAAAGCCAATTTCCTATGCAAACAATTCTTCAACATTGTCAATTTAGAAAAGGATAAATAATAACGACAAGATGGTTTTCAAGAGTAATCACAGTTAACTTTATATTGAGCACTGAGGTGTTAATGTTTTGTTACATTAGCATGGAGAAGCTCGTTCAGTCTAGGCGATCAAATTTACTGAGCGAGATAGATGTGACCAATAGACACTGAGTAGGCAATACAAACCACTAGTAGCCATTACAACAAAAATGAGTATTTGCCAGTGTAATAGTAGGTAAGTGCTATAGACAAAAGCAATTCCCGATACGATAGACTAAAAAGAAACAGTATAAAATAGAAAGTATAAAACATTATATATATATATATATATATATATATATATATATATATATATATATATAGGTTTTGGATGAGTAAGAAGAAAAATTGTACAGATCCTATATTACTTTCAGATTGTCAGAAGGGGTTGATTCTTGTTTACATTCGAGTTTAATCATCAGTAATTAACAAGTAAACTATTAATGACTTATGAATCAGCAACATCTGTTGCGAACTGACCATTTTAACTTAGTAGGCTCTTGAGTAAACCTAACTAGCGAATCCTTAGTAGGACTAAATGTTCATACTGCCTATTATTTAAAGGAAGCATTGAGCAGTAGTTTACAGGATGTGTATGGTTATAATCTAACGTATGTTAGTCGAGTTAGAAATAACTAAAGTTTACGATTTTCTAATAATATCGAGCGTGGACTGCATTGTGCACGCAGTAAATAATTACACTATAGATTGACCTCTAACGAAGTGACTTGCATTCTTGGTACTAGTGTTCAGAGTATGATGACTGATCCATTTCCGAACAACTAGCGCTGATAGGCGAATTCAAAAGATCCAATATGCAGCTTTTATGTAAACATTTGTTCTGGAATACACCTAGTTCTCAAGTTATCCTTGTTTGCAGGTTAAACATAATGGTGAAAGGGTAATGCCAAGGAAAACAATACAGTGTGGTCACACGACAAAATACGTAGACAACTAGGCACCACTTACATGGCTAACCAAATTACAGGTATGCTACGCTACAATAATTGTTGTATTGGAAGAAGATTGAATTATGGGTAACTACCGGGGACTATTTGTGGACTGTTATATATATATTCTTATAATATAACTACTAAGTAACTAGATTATATACAATTTATATCTCTTATTATAAGTTTTTATTTGATTTCTTGGCTACTATTATACGATTTATATTCCCAAGTTATTCCCAATATATTAGTTACAGTCTCACACTCACTTTTGGCTTCATCTTGTACCGTTGCTATTTTTTATTTTATCCTGTGATACTATACGGTTTACTTATGTATAAATTACGTATGTTTCAAACATATTATTCATACAGCGGAGACTGAGGTTGCGTTCTGGACTCAACGGGGAGGGCTGAGCGAGAAGGACTAATAAGGATTCAGAGTTAACGCAAGGCTGTTAGTGCTGGTTGACGTGTCACTGGTTTAGCACAAGAACAAGGTCATATAAGTCGGTATTCTGATAGGCGATTTTGTCACTTGATAATTGACAGGACCCGACCGTTGTTGCTACCTTGACGTGGTGGTCGGGCTTGCCTATCGTGATGAAGCAACCGAGCTATACTGGCTGGAACAACCGTTCCTCAAGGTCCTACCATGTCAGACAGGTCGGTTGAAGAGCGGTAAGACTAAAAGCAACAAACCCAAGGTCCGAAGGCGAAGTCGTACTGCTGACTGTACAGAGGTGTGACAGCAGTAAGGTGTTTCCTTCAGACAACCAGCATGACAGCGATGCTGCCTTCCCACAAGGAGGGGTGGGGTTAGAAAAGGTCGACCCTAAAAATGCACACCTCACCTTACCTCACGGATTTCCGTCTCCGGCGGTAAGGCCCTTTGAAGAACGGAGCTAACACATCAAAAACCTTCCACAAAAAGGCCGTGCGCGACCGGCCTCAAGCAGTTGTCCCTTGGGCACTGCGGTCACGCTCTCAGGTCACTGAGACCACCTCTAATCCAATTTCCTTTTCAGGTACCTCCAGAAGAACCCTTCCACGGTGTGGGCAACCGGGAAGTGATAACCGCCCTCATACCTCTAACAGCACTCAAGACCACTGTATTCATAATCAACCTTCCTCTTCAATTCCTATTATTCCTCCTACATCGACTTTCAACTCTAAACTTCCTCTTCGGCTTCCTCCTCAAGTGTCACCATAGCCAACGATTCTAGTGCTCAAAACTCTGTCCCAGGTCTACTGAAACCTCGCTCCAAACTACACATTGGAGCCTTCAACGTACGCACCCTATGTCAAATCGGTCAGCAGGCTTCCTTGGCTAAAACCCTAGAGTCTCTTTCCATTGATGTATGCTGTGTCTCCGAAACACGCATACAGGATTCCAGTGTGGTCATTCACTTGACCTCACCTCGGCAAAACGGAGAGCCAACGAGATACACCCTTCGTGTATCTGGTGACCCGATGGCCAGTTCTCGTGGACTGGCAGGTGTAGGCATAGCACTAAGCATGAGGGCGGAACAAGCACTGCTAGAGTGGATCCCCGTCAACAGTCGTCTATGTGCTGTTCGGCTGAACGGCTCCGTAAGAACTCGGAAGGATAGGGACACACGTCGTTGCCTTTTTGTCGTTTCTGCCTACGCTCCCACTGACTGCAGCTCAGATGAAGTGAAAGATGAATTTTACAGAAAGCTTCCGAACTTCTTCAGAAAGCTAAACGCTCAGACATAGTACTCGTAGGGGTGACTTTAATGCTCAGATAGGTAGCTTAAACCAAACAGAAAGGCATTTAGGTGGATATTTTAGTATTCCGACACAGCGAACAGATAATGGTGATCGTCTGCTGCAGCTATGCTCAGACAATCGTTTATTTTTAGCAAACACAAATTTTAAGCATAAGGAGAGACATCGTCTAACATGGCGACCCCCTACACCAAACCAACGATGGACTCAAATAGACCATATTGCCATCAGTCATCGTTGGAGAGGGTCGGTAGAAGATTGTCGCTCATTCTGGAGTACCTGCTTGGACTCCGACCATGCCCTAATACGGGCACGCATCTGCTTGCGCCTCACTGGACGCAAAAAAGCCACATTAAAAAGACCCATTAGAACTGAGTTGAGTAACGAGAAAACCAAAAGTAGGTTCCAGGAACAACTGAGGTCACACTTAGGTAGTTGTGAAGACGAGGCTGACCCAGATGTTGCTTGGAAGGCATACAAGCAGCTGTGGAAACAGCAGTGACATCTATTAGTGACTTAAACCACAGAGTTACAAGGAACCAGTGGATTTCTTCAAGGTCTGTCACACTGATGGATTCTCGCAAACTCGTCCCATCAGGTTCTGAACATGATGAAGAGCGTAAACAAATCAGATCTAGGTTAAGAAAAAGTCTAAGGAACGACCGTGAGCAGTGGTGGGTAACGAAAGCAAAAGAGATGGAAAAGGCGGCGACTATAGGGAACACAAGACAGCTTTACAGACTAATAAAAGAAACTGGAATTAATAAGTCAAGTGTAAGTGAGATTATTTCGGAAAAAGACGATACTCTCATCTGCTCCCAGTCCAGACGTTTAGAACGATGGGCGGAACATTTTAGAGAACAGTTCAGCTGGCCTTCAGCTACTCTACAACTACCCTCCATTCCCAGACAGTGTGAATGGAACATTGAAGTAGGTCCCCCAACTCTTGCTGAAGTTCAAAAGGCTATAGTTAATCTGAAACGAGGAAGGGCAGCTGGTCCAGATGGATTGGCTCCAGAGGTCTTTAAGGATGGTGGTCCAATTTTAGCGATTAGGTTGACTAATATTTTAGCTAAGATCTGGGAGTTAGACGTTATCCCATCTGACTGGTCGCAATCACTTATCGTCCCAATATATAAGAAAGGGTCAAAATCATCCTGTGACAACCACAGAGGGATTAGTTTAACAAACATAGTATCTAAAATACTAGCCTCGATAATTATCAGACGCCTAACTAAGACTCGTGAACTACAAACACGAGAGAACCAAGCTGGCTTTAGACCTGGTCGTGGCTGCATCGACCACATATTCACCATTCGTCAGGTTCTAGAACACAGGCATACTTATCGGCGTCCGACAATGGTGGTCTTTCTTGACTTAAAAGCAGCATTTGACTCTGTAGACCGCGAGATTCTGTGGCAGTGTCTGTCATTGAAAGGCGTACCTCAGAAGTACATAAACCTTGTGAAGGCTCTTTACTCGAACACTACTAGTCGAGTCAGGGCTTATGGCGAACTGTCATCTACTTTTGCAACCTCAAGTGGTGTCCGTCAAGGCTGCCCACTTTCTCCATTTTTGTTTAACTTCATCATAGACCTATTGATGGAAATAACACTCTCGTCGACTGAATTCTCGGGTATTGATCTCCTCCCAGGAGGTCCACTTATCGACTTAGAATACGCAGATGACATAGTCCTGTTTGGTGAAGACGCTGACAAAATGCAGAGTCTTCTGGTAGCACTAAGCAACAATGCCAGAATGTTTGGGATGCGCTTCTCTCCCTCTAAATGCAAGTTGTTGCTTCAGGACTGGTCTGCGTCAACACCTGAACTAAGGATAGGGAGTGAAGTAGTCGAACGCGTTGACAACTTCACTTATCTTGGAAGTCTGATCAGCCCTAATGGGTTGGTGTCTGACGAAATCTCAGCACGGATTCGAAAAGCTCGTTTGGCTTTTGCCAACTTACGTCACCTTTGGCGAAGGCGAGATATCCGTCTATCAATAAAAGGACGAGTATACTGCGCGGCAGTCCGTTCTGTTTTACTTTACGGCAGCGAAACATGGCCTTAAGAGTAGAAGACACTCGTAAGCTACTAGTATTTGACCACAGATGCCTTAGAAATATTGCTGGCATCTGCTGGGATCACCGGGTAAGTAATAGTGAGGTTAGACGCAGGGTATTAGGGAATGATGGTAAATCAGTTGATGAGGTTATGAATCTTCATCGACTGAGATGGTTGGGCCACGTGTTACGTATGCCTGAACACCGATTACCACGACGTGCAATGCTAACCGGTGTAGGGGATGGTTGGAAGAAAGTTAGGGGCGGCCAAACCAAAACGTGGCATCAGTGCTTGAAGTCACTAACTTCTAGTCTGAGCCATGTTGGTAGATGCAGACTACTTGGTTGGGGTCCGCGTGACTTTCGTAACCAATGGTTGGAGACTCTTGGTGACATGGCTCAGAATCGATCACAATGGCGTCGGTGTATACACTCCCTGTCTTCCCTTAAACTAAGAGATTAAAATCACTTCATATCTTTCTTTCTACGAACCAATTCTTTCTTCTTGTACTATATTTCTATATGCAATCTTTCTCTTATATATTACCACCTTTGACCTAACCACTGCTATGAATCCGGTGTTCATCTTGTTGTGCTGATGCGGTATGGCAACCTGGACCGATGCACATATGTGCCTGGTCCTACGTTGTAGCTGACTGACTGAATTGACAGGGCAAAAGTTATAAGAATAAGGAATAAATTATGTATTTTATAGCCTTAATAGTTAGACAAACGTATGTACATATATACTCACTTGAACAGATTTAAATAAAGCAAACCCAACTGTAACATCCCTTCCATGTTCACCATAAATGAAACCAATTAAAGTAGAAATTTGTGTGTTCCACACGGAATCCACACCACCAAACAAAAATGCTATGAGCATAGCCAAATAGACACTGGTAAAAAGATATGAACAAGTTAACTATTTCTACGTCAAAATTCGACTGGACTATGTTAAAAACAAGATATACACCGAATATATAAGAGGACGTGATCACCTGATTCCATAATGTTTCATTATGGCTAACTGCACGATGTAGAATACACGAACTACTCACTAACGATTTACTATGTGGAAAATAGTCTTACCACAAATATTTGACAGAGATTCAATACCACAATCTGAATTTTACTGTGACAGCCTGAAATAACTGATATATTATGTCGTCGTCTTATTCCAAGTAGAATAAAAGGAAATCTGAATTACATAATCAGGTAGGAGAGTAATGGAACTCAAAAAGTAAAAGACTTGACCTAGTGGTAGATGGAAATTATAGTTACAAGAAATGGATGAAATCGGAAAATGAAATGTGAAATAGTGTTATTTTTCAAAATTCAGAAAAAGTTTACGAATGAATGGAATATGCACTATGTCACTATGGTTCTGTACGACTCAACCAAGAAACTTGTATCTTTGGTCTGGCAGTAAGTGATTTGAAAAAATGACGTCTAACCACGTAATGCTTGCACTAAGTGACATAAAACATCAAGATAGATAGAAGTCGCACACGTGTAGCACATTCGATAAAGTCTCGAAGCACCAACTGATAAATGAACTTTTGTATTCGATACGTAATATCGTAATTTCCATTATGTTGCATCATCACAAGCGAACATTATTGTGAACAAGGTGTGTAGATGGTTTTTATTGTCATTTTTATAATTAGCTTCTGGTGGTAAGAATTTTGAGCGGAGAAATAATCTTAGTGTCACACTGACGCCAAGATCAAAGATACTACGATGAAAAGAGATTTTCTCAATGCTACAAACAGATATTAATGAGCTTGAGCATGAAGTACAAATCGACTACTTTCTGAACATTTCTGACACAAATTTAAACCGAAACAACGTAAACGGCTACGTTATTTTTATTTAGCTCAGCGATGAAATTGCATCGATTAATTAAAGAATTCAGTCAATTAAAATCTCACTGGTCTACATCTGGTAGTCAGTTGGTAAAGAGAATTAACTTACAAAAGACAAGAAAAAACTATAGTGAATTTAATTTGAACTTGCTTAGGAGTAATATAAGACAGCTCATCCGTATCTTTTATAGAACTGTTTGTCGGTAACATCATGAAAGTGAAATAGCCAGCTACAATTGCACTGATGTAACCAAAAATAACTAGAACTCCTTCTAAACGAATCCACCGAGTTAAATGTGAAGAGAAACTACCTGCAATCAATGATATAAATAAAGTTTTTTATTACTATTTCAAAATACGACAATTATATATATAATTGGCAGTACTGACTAGTGTTGAAGATCGACGGAAGAAAGTTCCGGGAGACCAAGCGAAAACGTAACGTCAGTTCGCAAAGTCACTAACTTCTAGTCTGAGCCATGTTAGTAGATGCAGATTACTTGGTTGGGGTCAGCCCGACTGTCGTAACCAGTGGTTGGAGACTCTGGGTGATATGGTTCAAAATCGATCACAATGGCGTAGGTGTATACACACTTTTTCTTCACTTAAACCATGAGATTAAAATTACATACACATATATGTGCCTGGTCTTACGTTGTAGATGACTGACATATACAACTGATTCCATATATGAAGTAGCCAATCAAGATTTTTAGGCTAAATTTATTCATGAACAATAATAAATACAGGGCAAGGTGAAGTATTAATTCATAACCAAGTGATTTACAATTAAGTGCCTTCGGTATCAAGCTCAAATTCCGCAGTGAATATAGCCCACAAATGTCCTTGCATGACTGAAGCTGAGTGACTGTTTTCCTCTCGAAATCCCCCATGTGGTCACTCATTTATAGCATTTACAGAAGTCCTACTCACTATCTTCACATTAGGGGCGTGTTCGAGAAAGTGGTAGCATGAGAAGCAGACGTCCAGTCCTTAAGTAGAGTTGGTGGATATGAAGAGTTTATCGAGGAGAATCGGAAAACCCTGATCCCAAACCAATGGTGTAAATGTGCTGCGTCTAACAATTAATATGAGTAAGAGCTTGCACTATTCTTGGTCGTTATAAATCAATTATCGTATGACTGAGTTACTTACATGTCAAGTTCATATGATATACAGTGTGATCGTGACTTAGTATACTCAAGATTAGTACTACCTCGTATTTTGTTATGACTCCAAGCCCTCTCCAAATAATCAAGAAGCGATAAGTCGTAGAGAATATATATATATATATATATATATGCCACTAGTGATGGTGATATCGTAGGAAATAGATGAAGATTTAAAGAGTAATTAAATATGACATTAAGAAGCAGAGGAATTGGTGGATTTTAAAAAGCCAAGTTTGAGTTTTCATAAGCAGTTCGATTCAAGAATTCTAGCTTCGGCTACAGTTTTATAAAATAACGTACATTTAGACAGTGTAAATACATATTGTGCCGTAATTCACAAATCTATTTCCCCCTCCATTATAAAACAATACAATGGAGAATAATGTTGACAATGTTAACTAAGATAATAAAATTATAAGGATTGAATTATTTTGGGATTTTACATTAAGGATATATTTAAAAAAATTGTTTTCGTTTATGCTTTGTTTGTAATCAGAACCAATTTTATTAACAAATAAATGTGATTTCAATAGTCGAGATCATGAGTCAGTTGCAACTAGACCACCATGGAAAACACGGAAGCACTGGACGGCCGTTTCGTCCTATTGTGAGACTCCTCGGCAGTGCGTATCCACGACCCCGCCCCGCGAGATTCCAACCCAGGACCTATCAGTCCCGCGCGCGAACGCTTAACCTCTAGACCACTGAGCTGGCATCTAATGGTGTCAATGTCTAACTTCAACTAATCTACGAAATTGAGCAACATATCCACCATTGTCTTCAGTGAGTTACTATCTCACTCACTCCACTGGTCACTGCTTTTCACTAGAACTCCAGGAAATACCTCTTGAAGCCAGTCACTAGCGAGCATATGCTAACTAGTATCAGAAGGGTTTTTGTGGATTTTATAACAATTTCATTATTTGAGATCATGAGTCAAATGAAGCTAGACCACCATGGAAAACCCGGAATAAATGTAAGACAAACGGAATAAACTTAACAGTACAAACATATTACATTACAGTTAATCATTCACATAGTGAATAAAACTTTTGTCAGGATAAATGAATTTTTCATTAATGCCACTAATATAATGTAGATAAAAGAAATACGACAACATTCTTAAACTGTATTAATTAATGGTGAAGTTGATTATAAGCCTGATAGGTTGACTTTCAATCAAAATAAAAAATAGACATACAAACTACAACATATTTTATAATTGACGCATAACAATATGGTTTATTAAAATTACGTAGATTCTCTTTAACTGTTTATAACTTTATTTTTATCGATATAATTTATTTCATTTTAGTTTTATTTAATTATTTGTTACTAAGAATATATTGTTGGGCTTATTATGTTGCCTTTAATTGATGCAACGGTTAAAATTCGATGTAAATGATTCCAACTATTTTACACTAATTTTTTTAACTCTATATAAATCATAATCTTTTACATTTTTCATATCACTTTTACTCGCGTTAAATTATATCATGCTATTTCTCTATTTGATCAATATGTTGTAAGCTGTTGAAGAGAATCTATAAAATATAAAGAACTGATATTAATTCTGCTTTAATTATTGTTCATATATTATTTAGATTTATAAAGAGAATTACTTTGTATAAAATAAAATAAGTGGGATTACTTACCGACAATTTCTCCAATCCCAATAAACAGGCCAGCTAATCCAATATAAGACTTTGCATTTCTACCGAAATGTAAACAATGTCCTAACGCAGAAGCATATAGACTTGAATAGAACGTTAAATTAATACCTAAAATAATTTCAGATTATGGTACGATAAATTGAAGGTATTTTAAGGGAAAAATGCTAAATAGGCATCTGTAATTACATTTTTAATGTTGACCGTAGAATATTGGCAAAACATCTCAGAGGGAATGTCGGTTGATGGCTAGATTTCAGTTGTGAATACAATCAAGCTGGAGACATAAAGGTGATGGTGTAGTAACATATGGTTTTAGAAGTTGGCATATGAAAATCTTTCAAAGACTATACTTTTACAACTATTCTATCCTTTAGTCTTGCTTTCATGCAGTAGGTGACTGAAGAAGATTCCCTATTCAGCAATGAATGTATACCCATGATCCTGACGGATATCAAATTCAGAACCTTGGAGTTTTACAGAGAGTGAGTCATTTTTAAATCACTGAGTCGGAAACCAACTCTGTAGTTTCAACTTGAGTTAATTCACTGTGTTTACTACTATTCGAATAACTTACTCCCAACATGGTTGAAATTCATATGCGTTTGATCCTAAAGTCCTAGAATATTTGGCCGGAATGCTACAACTGTATTATGTTAAACGTTTCTCAGAATTTTCATTTGGTTATTAAGTTAATTCTCTGCATGATAAATTCTCTCCTAAAAACACAATATTTTGATTTGTCAAGTGGCAAACAATAACTAAATGTTTACTTTAATTGATAAATACAAAAGTCGACAGTTGAACAAGAAACTTACGCACTTGATAAAAACAGTTTATTAAAGAAGCCCATCGATGTGAATTCCATCAACTATTAACGGCGCTTCACGAAATTTGATTTGACTACATGGGAGATGGTGTGAAGCCGAATTTAATATCGTGTTTCTACTAATAATGACACCTAGTTTGGTGATTTCACTATGGTGCTATTACGAACTTATAAGGTTGGTGATAGGACAAGATACAAATAAAGAAAAATTTATAAACCAACCTAAAAACCACTGATAACCCCATAATGTTTCAGGAAATAATGACAGGCAAGTAATCACAGAGTGACTGCAGAGGAGGAAGGCTGAACTAAGGTACTGAAGGCGCATAAGGTATCAATAATCAGTAATGGCTCAGCACATCCTTACACAACGACTGGTCAAGTGAGAATAGATGAGTAAAATTCATACAAGTGAAATCATTAGTTTACGCAATCCTGGAAGGGCAATAAATATCATACGTGAAACATCCAGATATCGGGTATTCATAATTTAATTATGTGTCATTGTTAAGTTTATTTATAGTGGAGAATTCGTACAAGAGGAATAAGCGTCAAGGATATCAACCACTCTGATTTGGTAAGTGAAACTGGTAAATCAATATAGCCAGTGTTAGGGTTACTATGGGTGTTTAGTAGTACGATTCGTTAGCTCGTAATATGCATTTTATTAGAAACCGTAAATTGTGACCGTTGGTTAGGTGGTTTTCAAAAGAAATCCTGATTAATGCCTAAGTCACATGACTATGAAATATTAACGTGTACGATGCAATACGAGAATAACTTGGGTGTTGTATGTTTCCGCACTTAGTACGTTTAAACTAGATGTAGTGAAGTAGGAATGTTGTTAACAATTGTCTGACTGTTAACCAAATATTAGACATAGCTACAGAGTGACAGGAGTTATAGATGTACAGGTATAAAGAATCACGTAGGGCCCAAAATGGGCCTCCATAGTCTTTTTGTTATGTCATCTAAAGAGATTTCACTCTGTGTATTCTGGCGTTATAAACATTTTGAACTAGTGATTAGCTAAAATAATACAACAACAGGAACATATCGAAATGCCATTAGCTTCTATTGGATATGGTCGACTAAAATTTGTTGATCTTTCTGAAATACTTTCTAGATTTTGCTCACAAACTATCCAAGGCGCAGATGTATTCTTATTGAAGTGGGGACAGGAAAAGTAACTGGAAAACCTCTTCAGCCTAAATTAGAAAATAAAAGTGTCAAGGAAATATTCAAACGCTTAACTAACTGTATAGTTTTCGCAGAATTTAATCGTATGCAATGTGAGTTTAAACAAAAACGATAAACAGTATGGTTAGAAACCTACACAACCGATGAATTTAAAACGCAGAAGATCACGTTATGTTACCAAGAAAGAAAAATTAACATTTAAAACTTGCTAATACACCGAACCTTTATAATCCTACAAAAACAAAATACAGCCGTAAGTTAATATCCAAAGTTATATAAAACTTATAGAATTAACCAGTTTGAGTAATTCAGATATTCACATTAAATATATATGATTACAGAGTTGACTGGAAAGATTGTCTTTGGTTCAGTGCAATAAAATCTCTCTGCTTACACCATCTTATAAAGTATCGATGACTGTCTTAAGTAATTCCTAACATAACATAACGAGTACATGCATACACTTATCATTCACTGCTTGCTGTTTTGTTGAGTGTACGTTTGAAGTATTTCAATATCTGAAAAATTCTTATACACAGAATTCGTGAATATTGTAATTTCTGATCACATAATCGATGATGAACATCGAATAAATATAGGCGTGTTACCTTTAAAAATCCTCAAATCACAAAAATGACGTTTATTTAAAGGTGGAATAATTCATTTTTGAGGCAATCAAGTGGTAATAACATTTCAAATATCAAATTTAAAAAGAAAGAGCAACTAGGAATCAGGAAATGTGAGGGAGTTGTGTTAGATATAAATATTAACAATTAACAAAAAGGGATTAAGGGCTATGTTCCAAAACATAAAAGAATCATACATATTTAATGAAGGGAATCAGGATATTCAGTTGTAAATGGAAGGACGAACCAACAGATCTAAATAGGAAGACAAACACGTAGACTGGCAGAGAAATTTCCAAAGCTTAAAAAGGTTTTAAAAACGTTTTTAAATACTTACAAATAGTAAGTAACAGGCGGTAATGCACAAAAATATGAAACAAAATTTAGTTAACAATTAAGGTATTAATTTTATTCCAACTTACCAGTAAATGCTGCTGCTACAAGAATGCAAATCATTGGTCTTGTGATTAGAATTTTAACCGATCTACCTAGAGTAGCATATACATGTGTATAGTGGGAGAAAGATTAAGAACGTAAATTTAATGAAGGTAATAAAAATATTTCGTCATAAAGATAGATTCAAAACCCTGGTTACTACATTATGTACTAGATTTTCATGGATTTAAATTCCTCACTTGAATTGGACGGGCACAAAGAAAATTATGAACTTGACATTTGAGAAACTAGGCGAACCACAAGTTTAAGTATTGTTATTGTAGAGCAAAAACTCAAAACTTGAAATGTTTAGGGATGGCTGGTTTTGGATATATTTTGCCTAATTATTAGTTGATTTAACTAGGTATGTATCAATATTATAACTTATAAACACATCGTGCTTTACGGCTATTTCACTCTTTTCACTTGTGCCTTTTTGTCCCAATGACCCATTGAGAATTTAGACGTTTCTAACTTTTTTTTCAACGATTATTTGTTGTAATCACTGACAAGTGGTCCAGAAAGCAATTAATAAGAATTGATTATTTTTTTGTGTTGCGAATTGCTTGTTAACAGCTATTAATTTGTGTTGTTTTCTCTAGTCTGTTTTCTTTGGCTGTTGCCCAGTCGATGGTGATTCTTTCGAATTATATGAGAGCCTGAATGGTACATCCGAAGATTGTACTTACATGGAGTGTTAAAGTCGAAAAACGTTATTTAATTCCAGTTAACGGTGAGACCATAATTTATGGACGATGTTTAAGCGACGCCAAACTGACCTTGAGAGTGTCTATCTAACAACTAGGACCAAAAGAGGGTTATAAACCAGTGTGGGGAATTAGAATTATGATTTACAGTTGATGGTTTAGGTTAGGTATTAGATCTAGGGTTTTCATCACAAACTGACATCAGCTATATTGTCAAAACTCTATTTAGCCAAATGAATGGGTGAATTTCGCGCCAAAATTCGAGACATGTTATTTTATATTTGATTGGTTCATCCATAAATTATAGTCTCGCTCATTTGTTTACATAGTATCACAGTTTCAAACTAGTATTTGGAATATACTGATCTGATTATCGAATTTCGGTTGGAACAAATATCAATTCATCGTATTCCGGTTCTGAGTTTTATAAGCATTATTTTCCTTGATGTAGATAATCCTGAATATAATTTACGAACAAATTTTTATTGGTCTTTCATACGATAATACTACAGAAATATGAGATATTCCAAATAGCCTTATCATATATCAATTGCGCAATTAGCACCAAGTTCTTATATTGAAAATAAGTCAAAGATGGTGAAATTAATCAATTCATAACATTATAGGGTACTTATTGAACAGAAAACATGGGACTTATATAGGCTTGATTAAATTTATGGTAGGTGAGACACTAATATTGGTTACTGAGGTCTAGCTAATCTACAACTTGTTCAATAATATGCATTACAGAATTAATTTTTCTAGATGTTAGAACATATGAATACTGTGGTAATATCTGCCGCACACATAACAGGTTGATAGATCAGTTCGACTTTAATACGTTAGTCTCACAAATACTCCATGCATAAAAGTTTGTTTAACATTTCATAGTTGGAAAAATGGTCTTTGAAGGTTGAGGACATACGTATATTAACTGTGAGCATTTGGCGACAAATACCCTAGAAACATTTTTATGTAGCAGAACCACCACTGATTGAATAGTGCAGAGGCTAAACACAGGTTACCATGTTGGTAGATCAAGTTGTAAACCTTTTCTGATTGTAGTGGTTAGGGTATATATGTCAAGTAAGCTCAGCCAATTCGTAACTCGACGCAATAATGGTTAGCATCAGACTAGACTGAAAGTTGGCTAAACGTGGTTCGAATAAGACATGTTATTAATCGTTAGCTGTTAAAATGAATTGAGTCAGGAGATTCAGACTACATGGTTGAGATATGTGCAGTAACCGTAATCTATCGATGAAGACCACGTAACACCGATTGGAATTGGTAGCAGTGGCATAAAATTTAATACCGCTTGAAAATTTTCATTTATTTGTTTTAGAAGTGTATTCTTTGGTCTTACTTCTAACTATTATAGATGTTGTTATTTCTACTTCTTCGTTTTTCATCATGTTAATTTCCCTTCATTATGCTGATGTGAAGTTTGACAACGTAGGAAGATGTAAAATTGTGTCAAACGCTAAGTTGTGCATGAATAACTGTTAGCTTATTGTCAAGTTAGACTTTATTATCATATTCATTCAGTTAACAAAATACTATATCAAGAGTGAGAAGGCTGCTATTTTGAGTCCAAACATTATTTAAAATATAATCATATGATTTGGTTACCCATATAAATAAAATGTTTACTAAGATTGTCCCTAGTCATTCAGCTGGTAAAATGCAACGTAAAAACTACAACGAATCCATATTAAACTTGACGTCAGTTTAGTGGGAATGAATTAAAATGAGATACCACAAGGGTGTGGTATTTAAAATCAAAAGTAGATAATGTAATTCGAAAAGAATATATGAAATAAAGGGCTGAAAATTATCAGTATTAACATCTGAAATTAAAGGGAAGATAAAGGATGGATGCGACCGTGGCACTGCCACCCATGTTGAAGCATGTAAACGAAGGTATCAGATAATGAAAACTGATCATCGCGCGAACCTCAACCGACAGAAAGTGACTTCAATGTTTGACCGTCCAAGCTGAGAAATTACATCTTAATAGTCTTAGTTTATTACACTTTTCGATTAATAACTTTTATACGACAAAAAACGAGTTAACTATTGAATCATGTTAAAACAGAATAAAACTTACGTAAAGAGTGTAAAGTCGACTGAAAAACTGTCGAACGATTTTGTATTCTATGAACGAGAAAAGATTTAGAAATACGGACTTTTAACATTTTAATTAGTTTCAGAGTGGAAAAAAACAGTAATGATAATGAAGACTTAGTAAATACATTTAACAAGACTGTGTGTAGCTGAGTATTGAAAATCCGTGAGATTAAAAATAAATTCATTTTAATCCGTGGATTTATTAGATAGAAAATAAAAACCGATCACATTTGTCAAATTTTACCCATCTGATGATAGTTTTACCAACGTGTAGAGGTATAACATTGTGTTCAGTGCACAGATATAACTCGATATCACAATTAGTTAAATAATAATGATAATTAATAGTAACGGTTTTCTTTAATGAAATAAAAGACTAAAACTCGCCCAGTGTAATTTACTACCAATCTCGCAATATACTTTACTATTGTATAAAAAGTAATAATGTGAACTGACACTAAAAACCGATGTATGAAAAATTAAGTGAACATATCGGTTTATTTTACCAACTACATACGAGAATATGAGATTTATTAAATACAGATTGACAACCTCATCAAATGAACCATGTACCGGCCATAACGATTTTTTACCTCAGTGTAACAAATAAATAAAGAGGAAACAGTTAATGAACTGAAAAATGACGGTAAAATAACGAAGATCTTAAAACGTAATGATAGTTTATACTTTATGGAATTTAGGAGGTTTAAGAGGATTAGTATATGATCTTGACTACTGATTTTCTCTGGTCTTCTGGACATTTTCTATTAACGTCCGTTGACTGTAAATTCCAGAAAAGTCACCGAGGATTAATTGACAAGAAATTTGATTTAAAACTTTTCCTTAACTAAATAATTCTAATTTAGTGTATTTTACTTTATACTAGCAGAACTAACGACTGTCCTGTGAAAACGTATGAGAATTCAACGTACTCAGAGTTAAACTACACTTTGGGATTAATCGGTCATTTAATTGAGAAAGAAAGATTGGAACACTATCTTCTATTAACACATTTGCAATGTTTAGAGGATGAGTAGTAGATGGTTGCAAGAATGAAGATTTAGGTTTAGACCCTGTATGACTGACGGATTTCTAATCACAATAATGCATTGCAAGGAAAAAGTGGCAAACTGAATAGGTGAGAGGTAGCATCACAGAATACATTATTCACTGACAATTATAGCTTAAGATAAATGTCTGTAACTTTACTTGCCTTACGAAATCTCACTTGGAAAAATGACTTAATTACAAAAATAAGCATAATAAATATCTCGACATAGGGAATGAAAACTTCAAAAAGTAAAATTATTGAAATAATAATCATTAGACGTAACGAAATACAACATCTGTGAATTGTCGTTTAAATATGCGAATAGTAAACGGGATATATGAGAGGACTGGAAAGAAACCTAGCACGATCACCTATTAAGTTTTATGTGATCACGGAAGAATCTAAGGCATGAGAAACTATTTTTGAATACAAAAACTAAAGCTGTCAGTTAGAAGCCCAGAAGCTTTTCCCATATATAAGAGATGAAATTGAATGGAACTGAGAAAATTTGAAGGAGCTTGATAAGTCGTTTGGAAAGGTATGGTTACATCTACCATATGATTACAACAGAACAAGTATAAGAAAACAGAATTGTGTTAACTCAATTTGACCATTTCTAAACAACGAAGAGAGATGAATAATTATTGGCTAGGTTGCTTGGCAGTATACATGAAACAGCTCTCTCCAAGTGAGCAGTTCGACCAATGAATATAAGTCGAAGTGACGAAACCAGGTTTTTCATTATTCCGCTGAATAACCACCACTGGTCGACTAGAAACTGGTAAAAATACATACTTCTACTTCCCGACCCATTTGCTTGTCTGATTAAGGAAGCCTTAAAGAAATGAAACTAAGTATCACTCTGTTTTTCATAAATGAAATCGATTACAGAGTGTATACTGATAAATTGCCTTAGGAGTTTCTCTGCTAATTTTCTGATCGAAGATTGTTGATGTATAAACCTTGGCATCCCCTTGAGGTTCATTTTCCATTTTAAGGGGAGAAATCGACTACGATAAGTCATATAAACGGGTTCAATGGTTATTCCATCTATTCGAAAACTGTTAAAGATAAAACAGATCGTTATTGTACACCTTGAAAATAATGACTTCCGAAATTCCAATACCAATCTATTTTTCTAATATTTGCTAAAATATGAATTCAATTTTCGCAATTAAGTGGTACATTGGTGAACAAGAAAAGGTTATCCATAAATATTACAAGTTTCCTGCCTATAATAAAATTACCTACATTGGGAAAAAAGTTGAAAGCATAAAAAGCACCTTTTTATCATTATTAATCACCCATAAATTGCCTTCATTGGTTTAATATTTTTTATAAATGCGTGTACACATTACTATGTACTAGAGGGAATGCTGATGGTGATTTAACTAAAAACAATATTATTTGGATTTGTTATATTATTGTACACGTGATTTCTCAATATTTGAAATTAGTTGAGGTATGTAAAAAAATCCACTCACGTTGAGTAATCTGGAGTTAATTCACTCAAGTTATCACCAGAGGAATTCGTCTCCATATTAATTAACTGCTGGTGTGAAATGTTGTCTGTTTTATGAGGCTTTCTCAGCGTGAATAATAATAAAATTCCAAAAATAGCACATCCCAACAATCCACCATAAAGCCGAATACGTAATGTGCGAGAGATTTCATCTATATTCGATAGTGATAGGTAAGCGTACAAACCACCAACTATTTGACTGAATTTTTTAAAAAAATGTATACATTAGATTTTATTTTTAGACAAACAACAGGACAAATTAATCATTCAAGTATGCTTGTGAACTGGGTAATTTTAATTAAAATGAACTGGAGAATCACTTAGAAATAAAATGCATAGATCAACTGTCGTATGTTATTGAAATTTAGTAGTACCTAAACAGGACTCATTTATTCAGTCACGAGTTACGTCCCATCAAGAGCATGATAACGGTGACGATTAGTCGTTTGACGTTCATTATATGTGAACCTCTACAGCTAGATATACTTAATGTAGTGGAATAAGGTTTCAACTGATATTCATATCTTTCGCTTCATATTTCAGAGCCTTGTCAAATATAAAGTAGAAATAGGCCTTATGTGACGGGTACCAGTTTTGAGTAAAATGTTGATGTTTTAAGGGTTTAGTTAGCCAGTCTCCAAAACATTTCAACAAGGAATTGATGAGTTTGACTTAGCAGAAGCAACTACATTGTATGGTTGACCCAGATTATTTTTTTCGGAGAAAGTAACACTTAATAGCAAATTTTATCCTTAATATTGAGGGAACGATCCGTGAGAGGGCTCTGTGTAAAGATATATCAGGCAGGCTGAGGAAATACAACCACCTATCACCATTACTTCATTCCAGTAATGGTGGTTAGGCAGAGTTGCTTAGTCTCCATTTCTCTTTCCCATCGATGAGATTTTGGAGACAGTTCTGATGGAAGTAGCTAATAGTGTGGAACTGTTACTTGGAGAAGGACTTTTGACCCTGAGTATTTGGACGATATTGTTTTACCATGCAATCATACTCAAGTCATGCGATCCGCATTTAATCAGTTGGTAATGACTGTTCGTATGTATACCATGTGCCGAGTACAGGTAATAAGTACTTTTAAAAACTGGTGAGGGACTGTCAATTCACACACTCTTGGTATTAAGCCGTTAAAAATATTCTAAAAGTTCATATGTTTATGTAACTATGGACATGTTAGTGGTGGCGTGAGGAATAAGACCAATTTACGTATCCTGAAAACCAAAACGGCTTATACCGTGTCTGTTAAAGATCGAGTGGAAACAGTTTGCTCTACGCTTGTGAAATCTGGCCACTCCAAGTTGAAGATGTTAAATGATTCTCTGCATTCGATCACCTTTTTCTTACGAGGATTACTGGCATTTAGTGGAAACACTATATTAGTAATGCGGCGGTTCGGAAACGCGTATTTGGGCAGTGACGATAATGAAGTTAGTGTCACCATATTGGAACACCGTCTTCGATGGTTTGGACGTGTACTACGAATGTCATGCCGGCGAATTTTACATTACCTATTATTTACCGACGCTGGGACTGTCTGGAAAAAGCGGAGAATCGGTTGATTCACAAGGTGTCGGGGTATGAAAGAAAGCTGAATCCAACTGAAAACATGTACAGACTGTGAAAGATATTTCCTGAGGCTAGAAAGTGAGTGGTAAACTTATCAAGAGAACCATATAACCATGTACATGATTGAGTATTAAGCGTATCACCCACCTGTTGAGTTCGAAGTAGACAGAGCACCGTTCAAACACGGAACTAAATAACTGAAAGCCAAGTACTGAAAGTATAAGTAGGTTTGCAATGACACGTTTAAGTTGAAAAGATAGAATTTCGTAAGAAATCATAGACACAACTTTAAGGTTCGCCTATCTTGCAAAAAGGAAATAACCACAAAAATGAATAAAACCGCTTACTTAGCTTGGAATAATCCCCAGAACAGACTGAAATGTTGATTTAAATTAGATTTGGTAGAACAATCGGTAATGAATGCACCTTGAGCAGTCCACAACACTAAACAGAGGGATCAAACAGACCACTTAATAGATAATTTCAACTCAAAAGTTTACCTGCTGCACCGATTCCATTTACCAAAGATGCCGAATACAGGCTCCACTCAAAGGGTTCAATATATGAAGCAATGTATAAACTGAAAGGAAATGACATCGTCTTTGAAAACCTACGCATAACAAAATGAACCGGCGATCATAGAATATTTTTCTCCCAGATACATTACAACAATTGGTGCAAACCAGTTGAATAAACCAAATGAGATATACACAATTGCTAAGCTGTAACAATACTTATACATAAAATGGTATTTACCTAGTGTAACCTGTGCCATCAAAACTGTTGTTGCGCTGTTTTGAGACAGCTTCCAAAACATTTTGCTGTGAAAAAGATGCAATTAAGTTACACGCACTAGAAAACAACTTACTGCAGTCAAGGATGCTGTTTGAAATGCAGCGAAAAGAAAGAAAAATGCTAACCCAGTAATAGTTACATTGCAAATATTCAGATTAATATTCATGACAATAGAAATTAAGGTGCATTAAAGTTATGTGACGATAATAGAGAAAAAACTCTCCTGCAAAACAAATATGAAAAAATAATTAAGTTGTTGTATAAATAGTCCTGTGATGACTATAAATATGCTGTGGTTTATATTGGTACATAGACAAAACTAAGATGTGAGTCACAAATTTACTTTCTAACGATACTTTGAAGGTAGGCTGAGATAAATCATAAGGACCTAAAACATGGTGTTTATGTAAACGGTAATATTAACAAGCTTCTACTAATCTGATCGATTAAGCAGCTTGTACTTTTACGGTAGTCGGGTTTATATACCATGGATTTTGATGGAATTCTCGAGCTTACGTGTGCTAAATTGCTTAAAATCAAAACTTACTAACTCGTGAGAATCCGTCAACTTTTTCCTTATCAGGTCAACTAAGCGAAGCAAAAGTAGTGAGCACGAAACTCTTGGATCATAGAGACCATTTACGAGAAAGTGTTCAGCGTAGCGTACCTAAATAAAGTCACACCTAACCATATGTTGAAGTATCCGGAGACAGGTCGAATTCAACTGTACTTATCAACAACCCTGAGCATACTAATTACTCAGACATAGGTATAACTTAAAACTAGATTAGTATACTACGATATCCCGAAGAACAGCTTTCATTAGGTTGCTAAGTCTAATTTCCCAAGGCATAATTAGTGTAAGCACAAGCAGTTCTGATTGGATGTTTTTAATGGGAAATATACTCAATCAACCCACATAATATTAAGCAAGCTAGTAAAGATTGGGAGAGTAAAACACTTGTTATCCCACAAGCATGCGTCGTTGAAGAGCACTGGTCACTACATATGCATTTACTTTTGGTGTATTTTTTTACTCCTAGCATAGTAATTTAAAGTAACAGTCGGGTTGATAAATGAAAAAAGAGAAGTGGAGCCACTGAAACTATATCCATAATGCTTGTCAAATTTAAAGCTAGCCTTAAAATGACTCTATCCAACGAACAATACTTTACATAACCGAATAAAACGGAGGAATTATGGGATTTTAGTTGTTTAATGTTAACGGTGATGTGTGTAGTGGTGACCTAATATATATATATATATATATATATATATATATATATAGATCACGCCAAACGATTATACTTATTGTCGTCCGTAGCAATGCAAAACATCAGGTTTTATGTAGTAAGTACTCGGTCAGCGACTTGATTAACTATTTTTCATGGCTGGAGGTGAATGGTCCACAAGTTAGAAACAAAAAGAACAATTAAAGATACATGTAAACGATTACGTTCCAAATCCAATCAAAAGTGAGACGGTTACAATTTCACTATCCAATATCATTGAGATGAGGAGTTGTAAACCAGTTGATTTATTTGAAAACCTATCTTGATAGTGAGATACGGTTTCAAGTCAATGATATCATTCCATGTGAGTAGTCTGGTTACCCAGGTACAGCAACTTTCGTGAACTTGGTAGTTATTCGTTAGTTATCTACTTTATCCAAAATCTATGTGACTAGCTTGCGTAAGCCGATCTATACGTCTGAAAAAGACAACCTTGCGCTCCAACTGTTCTTTCCCACGGTCTGAATAAAGGCCTACTCGACCGCTAATCTGTTTTTTTTCTATCGAAAAAAACCCGCAGGTATCTGCCGGCATGAAAAACATTCAGAATTGGAGGAAATCTTGGTGGGAAAAAGCGTGAGCGTACATGTGTGTTTTACTTGGGTTGCTTCAGGGAGCGTAGTGGCGATTTTCTGGCGGGATGTTCGTAGTAAAGTAACTTTTCATATATAATGTACTGAGTGCCACTTTTATATCACTTTTTTTCTCCTGTAGCTCAACGAGGGTAATCGCAAGTATCGGGATCCGTGGTCGTCAAATTTGTTCCGTATCCCAGGTGCCTACTTGGTTATTCTTTTCTTTACTCTGTCTAGAGGATGTATGTCTGTTTTTAAGAGAGGGAACTAATGAGGAAGAAGCTTTGTAATGAGGCTGAGTACGGTTTAACGAGTGTCAGAACGAGTTTCGGAGTGATAGCGCCAAGTTGTCTTCGGCAAATTGGTCGAGCTGTTTGACCTGAGGTAGCACACGCAGCACTTTGGTAACTTGGCTAGTTTGCAGTTGGGCGTTATCGCAGCTTTAAAGTGACTGTTGATGTTTCGTGCCATATTTGGAGAATGTTCAATCCATTGCCCGTGACATAAGAGAGAGGTGGGCTTCAGTTAACACTAAGGTTTTCAGCTTCATCTGAGAATACATGTTTTTAAGTCCCATTTTCTGCCTCTAAGTCACTTTACGTTATTGTATAATCACCGGTATTCACCGTATGCGTGGTTTCTTTATGGTGATGTTCGTTCGCAAAGCCATATGTAGGGAGTGATTGGCTAGTTCTCATAGGACTAACCGAAGCAAGATTTTTCCTAGTGCGATAAGTTTAGCTGGGTTTATTGTGGGGGGAGCTATTGAGAATACTATATTGTTGGTACGTTTACACTATATTTGCCTCAGAAATGGAGAATGACTCACATTGCACCTGATATAGCTGAGAAGGTCACTTCTTACGTTATACGACGACTTGGTAAGTTTTCCTAAGTAACCATAGTCTGTGCATTTGACAGTCATCAGGTGAAGAAAATTAATTAAATGCGTGGGGGATCAGTCTGCATGTCTGACCAGTTTGTCTTGTATACCGTCAGAGTATATTACAACCACTGCCGTATTTTTTATCATCTACGAAAGCTTTGTCCGAGCTACATGATGGTCACTCTGGAACCGCATACATCACTATGACATTGACCTCTCCAGTTATTTCGTTTGGTTTTAATACGGCTCCTCGTACCAACTTCAGTTTATCGTGCCTACCTCCAATGACTGAAGGTTGTTTAACTGTTAATATCAGCCTGACCCTTAATTGGGGCGGTTTACTTCTAGCATTTTAATCACGGTACAAATAGCAGAGTTTATCTTGGGTTATGACAACGTCAAGTAAAAGGTATTTGTAATCCAATGGCCATTTTTTGAAGGCATTTCTACACTTCAGTAAACTATCCTCAGAAATCAAAAACAAAGAGAATCAAAGGATTTGACCTAGCGTCATGTGGTTTAATCCTAATCTTTTAATTATTGCTCATTATGTGGCTGTTGTTGATATCTTATATTCCCTCTGAAGTTCCAGGTTCAGTGAATCTATAAGTAGAAGATGTGAAGATGCAAGACGTAAGGTTGTTGTTGCGTTGATGTTACTATATATATATGGGTCTCAGGGAATGTTTTGATACTGAGTTTTCTGGCCATATATGTGGGATCCCATATGGTTTTTTCAGTAGGGATGGCCCCGTGTGACCTAAAAAGTGGATGTGAAACCGTTGTGTTTCATTGACTCATTGGACGAGACCTTACGTTTTTTTGGTTTGGTGGTTGAGTCCACCCTGAAACCTGAACAAAAGTAATAGAACGACGGATATGGCTGGATCACAATAAGTCTGTAGTACATCCTGGATATCACATTGTTGCAACAGTAGATTTAGCTTTTGCGAAGACTTCACTTATATCCAGACTCATTTGTTAAAACTAATGAACACCACGTATATCAGCCATGGCTGTTGTTTCTCTGTTCTAATGCACATGATGTCTTCTATGACTAACACGTGAACGCCCTTTTTCCCTCTTCAGCTGATCGGTTACAATATTAGAAAAGGTCAAGTCAAATTAATGCCTCTATCTTCCTATGAAAAGACAGTATTATGTACCTAATTTGTGTTGGTGTTATTTCCCTGGGCACTAACCTAAAGTGTATTTTCTAGCTTTGGCTCGGGATGTTTTTGAAATTCTAGAGTCAGAACTGCGTTTCTGAGTTATTTTTCCTTGCGACAGGGCTTCAGCAAGTCATCTCTCGCTACTAGTGTATTCGTGTCCAGAATCGATGGGGAAAGGCAATGTATTTAACTCCTACCGACTGTCAAAACACGAGCAAATGGATGAGTAATAACACGAAGCAAATTTGTTCTTCACAAATCAGTGACAAAATAAAGGTTATTGGGCAAAAACTCCAGCTTCCATTATCTAAAGTTTACTAATGAGAACGTATATCATCCACATTCCCTTTGAATATTTTCACTGGCTCAGTGTCCCAATCAGGAACTTTGAAAATACCAGACGCGATACGAGTAACAAATTTGAAGACTTTGGCTCCAAGGAATGAAACTTGAATAAACAGAATGATATCAAATTGCTGCCCCTTGAAAGATAGTGTGTGGGAATGCTCAGAAAGTGTAAACAAAAGTTGGAAACAGTCCACGCTAACTTTTGGACCCAAGTAGAGTTATAACAGATTGAATGAAAGCTCATTTTTGAGCATTCTTCCGTTAATGCTGCGTATCAAAACACAAAGTTAATTCAGTTCATTTTATTTTAATCATTTAGAGCTATTTATGTGTTTGGTATGAACACGCTGCTTTAGCGCGACCTAAGTTTCCGGTCAGAGGAAAGCAAATGAAGTAAAACTTAGAGCCTTTAATGGAGTAATTAGAGAAAAGTATACTTTCACATGCAGCAATTACTCACTAATTTAATGGTCAAATGGTAGATTTTGGACACATATTGAACATTTAAAAATGGATGGGCTGAAGATTCATGGGCACGTACACCATCCATGTTGATGTCAGATCTCTGGATAGATTTGACTTTCGCGCTTGTACTAACGTAGATGTTTGGCATTTTGGATGAGACTTGTAAAATGACTAGTCTATTTGTAAATAAGTGAAACTGTTACAAGTAGTCGTAGTCTAAGCACATCTCGTTATTTTCGTCTTTCCAGAATTGCAAATGAAGTAAATCCGATCACAAATCACCGCAAGTAAGAATCTTATTGTGAGGATGTCACGGAAATTTAGATCTAAAGATCTATTTGGATAGTGATCAATGTGTCGATGTTCATGCAGTCCAAGTTGACTGGTTGTCGCGACATGTGTGCAGTGCGATATGCCTAAGCACGATCTGATGCAGATACGCAATGGAGTGCTTTCAGCTAGTGGTGTATCCCGTAAAACTAATGTGGCCAGCACTAATATTGAAAACATGTGATGTATTTACTTCGGAGATTTATTTACCGCTCCAGTTGTCGTAAAGATATACTTAGAGTTCACTATGAAGAGCGTGTAGCGGTAGTTAAATCCTCAAAATAAATAGCTTTGTAAGTTTTTGACATTGAATACTGACCATATGTTATAGTCTACAACCCTCAAGCTACGCATCAAACAGATGGGAACAGGTAAGGAAACCTTACTTTGTGACACATCTACAGGTAGGGATAGCTTAATCGTGCCGAAAGATCATCGACGCAATGCCTTCAATATGTTGCACAAAGTTTCTCATCCAGGTGTTCGTTCAACAATCAAGCTTATAGCATAACGGTTTTGCTGGCCTGGTATGTATAAAGACGTGAGGGAGTGGGCACGTTCCTGTGTAAGTTGCCAGAAATTTGAGGTTATTAAACTCAACAAATGTCCTTTAGGCTTGTAGCGTGGTGTCGAGTTGAGGTTAACTATGAACACCGCTACCAAAAAAACACGTGCAAAGTTAATCAGAAGGCGAAGGTTGGACGTAACCAAATAAATCCATAAAATCCACGAGAAGCCAAATATCAGAAGGCAATTAATGGACCAAATCGAGATATATTCGCTGGCGATCTCGTGGTATCGAAAGGATACCGAGATCGTGCCAGGATACTAGCTTGGTTACAGAACGTAACTGAACTCGCGCGAAGTCACAATCAAAAGTGTCAACATGAATGGAAGCAAAATATAGCTGTCATTAGCACGGTCAAACAAAAGAACAATAAAACAAGCACTGGTACAGTTGGTTATAATAATAATCGTTTTTATTAAACCAGACGTGTTCTCGTGATAAATGTGAGTCACTACAGGCTCTTTCAAAACTGCTGATGCCCGTTTCGACCATATGCATCTGGATTTGGTAGGACCTTTACCAGATTCAAATGGATACTTATAATGTTTCGAATTATTTGAATTATAGTACGAACTGAGAGTCCCAGAAATAACTCAACTGAATTAAGAAGTTAGACACAAGCACAAACGCATGTACTGTATTTGGAATTCGAAATCAAGCATTCAACAAGTACAAATGTATCATTAGTCCATTCAAACACCACATCCGCCACAGCTTAAATAGGAGTATAAGTGTCTGTAATCGGTTTTTACGTCTTCTTCTTAAGTTCATCCTGAGTCTGCCGACATTGTATTGGATAAAAACTTTGTAGTATATAGAATGCGCTGATTGGTATTCGAATTAACAA